ATGCGTCTAATATATTGAAATGTTGCACTTTATATGCCCCTCTTGTGAAAATAGTTTAAAACACAAAATATTCTCGATTAAAACTGTCTGAAGGGATATATTTTGCTCATTGGTATATGCAATTAATTTTTTCGCGCTACGCATTTTGATTATATATATATATATATATAAAGAGAGAGAGAGAGAAACATTATTGCTCCGTTTGGACAAAGTATTCGCCTCTCTAATTAAGTAGGAATTCGTTTTTGAGGTTTAAAGATATACTGTAAACGACTTAATTTTTGCGAGCACCTAATTTTCGCGAATTCGCGAATCGCCTACAATTCCAGTAAAATGTGAACACATTGGAATTTATATTGAAATCTCACGGCATTGCAGAAATTAGAACCCACAAATTATTCCAGAACATCAGCATGGACCTAAATCGTGAAGTATTGACCCTGCGAAAAATAAGTCGTTTACAGTATGCAATAAAACACAATCGTTTTGTTCTCATGATGAGTAATAAAGTCAAATATTGTCATTACTCAATAGCGCTGTGTAGTTATGGTTACTGTAATAACGTTGATATGTGGCAGTTTCCGAATTACAATTTATTTACTAATTTAGTGATATATGAATAATGTCAATATTTTTGAAAAAGTTAGTCAACATGACTGCAATGTTTTGCACTCCTCATTAGTACATCAAATACGCCTCCAGTCGGTGCACTTAAAAAAAGTATTTAGTGTGTCTTTACAAGAAAAACATCAACTCCAAAGAACGAGAAGTGCTCTTTGAAGTTGTTGTTTCGTTGACAAAAGATACGGACGTTGTTTGCCGCACTGAGGATGAACGTAGATTGAGCTCTTCAAAGGACGATTAATGAGTGTTGTTGTGAGAGAAGCGAGATAATCACACAGAAACTTCCCAGAGAGTACGGTCATAAACTTACACTATCTTCGCCAGCACTCTAAAGGCTTACTCACATGATGCATCTTTTCAACGAGCCACGGATCAGCGAAAGCGAGATTTCGCGAAATCCGTCTGTTCCCACGTGGAGCTTGACGCGCGAAATCTGTGACGCTTTGACTCATGAGAATATCGCCAACCTTGTCATCGGCACAGGGAATATTAAACGTTTTGCATCAAAATGATATTAAGTGCGCACAGTGGGAAGAGGCAGTTAATAATACCACTCCATAAACTTCGTCAGATTCGGCTCACTGGGTCTACTAGGCCGGCGAAACCAAGGACACACCGCGAATGTCAAAGGACAGGCGGAACGTCTCAAAGTATTTTGGACATCCTTGGACCGCTAAAAGAAAGCTGTCTCCAATCATCATATTTATATGTGGCGCTTGCACTCGTCGTGACTGTTGATGAATTTTCCCCGCGTCACCAACCCGTACTGCTACCACATATCAGCCGTACTCATGTACTATCGGGGAAAAATGAAATGCGAACAGTGGAGCGCGTGGCTCGCGGTACAGGCTGCGCCGCCTGGAAGTGAGCCTAGGAACGAGGGAGCGTGGCCTACTCCGACATGTTCACGCCCCTCCCTCTGCGCTCCCCAAGCTTCAACAGAGCGCCTCTTAGTGCGCTGAAAGCTATCACCGCTATCTTTGCTGGCTCAGCGCGTGCGGTGCGAAGAAGGTCGTCGCACTCGCCGAGCAGGCAAAGATAGCGGTGACAGCTTTCAGCGCACTGAGAGGCGCACTGCCGAAGCTGCGGGAGCGCCAATCGAGGGGCGTGAACACATCGAAGTAGGCCACGCACCCTCGCCCCTAGGTTCACTTCCAGGCGGCGCAGCCTGTACCGCGAGCCACGGGCTCCTCTGTTCGCATTTCATTTTTCCCCGATAGTACGCACCACTGATCTCAATGACAATTGCTGGATCGCGCTTGCCGCTCCCGCAAGTGAAGCCACCGGGCTTCACTCGCTTGGGATACGATTTGCCGTTTTTGCTAGCCTTTGCTGCGGTTTTCCAGCGTGCTGACGACACGTTTTCTACTCGTTCGTCGTCATTCGCCGAAGAAGTTTTTTGAAGACTCTGTGTATTGTTGAGACTTGCCGTTGTGAACACGTGGAAAATTTTACGAAAGTGCAGTGTCGCAGGAAAAAGGCACAACGCGTCGAAAGGAAGGGCTGGCGGCGTGTTCAAAGCGTCCTTGGCACGCCGAAGTGCCGTGTCTCTGTGCCTTCGCGCGCTTGGATACCGACCAAGAACCGACGCCGTGTGAATGTGTTTAGCGAGTGCAATGTGCGTGAAGCCGTATCAAAAGGTACAACTCGTCGAAAACGTGTCGCCGGTGTCGCGGCGTGATCAAAGCTTCCTTGGCACGCCGAGTGATGCATCTTTGTGCCTTCGCACGCTTGGATACCGGTCAAGAATTGACGCCGCGCCAAAGTTCTGAACGTGTGTCGCGCGTAGATGCCTTTAGATCATTTATATATATCGGCCACGGAGTTCTGGATCGTCCAGCTGTTCCGGTGAGTTGCTATCAATAAAAGGGGGAAATCTGTACGTGTTCTTATGTACTATATTAACCATGGCTATGTCCCAAATCTACTCTAATAGATTCCGTGGGAGCACGAATAGGGCAACGTTGTGGAGCCAGGGGGGTTTTCGAAAGCAAAAGTACAAGACGGCGAGAATGAAAATCTTTAAAGCGCGGCCGATATGGTCGTGTGCAATCTGTTGACCAATTAAAATTAGGCGAGCCGCGCTCAAACGTCAAGTGCAATTAAGTAGGTTGATAATAAGCCAGCACTGATCAGTGATGAGGAGCTGTTGTGCACGGTATTGTGTAAATCGTCTAAGGACGAAAAAGAGACGTACCTTCTCCCCATCTTCCGTCGCTAGTGGACGCTGGATTAAGCTCGTTCCTAAACCGCGAGGGGAAAAGACGCTGATCCAGAGGCACGAACAGCTTCACGCACATTGCACTCGCTGAACACATACACACGGCGTCGGTTCTTGGTCGGTATCCAAGCGTGCGAAGGCACAGAGACACGGCACTTCGGCGTGCCAAGGAAGCTTTGAACACGCCGCCAGCCCGTCCTTTCGACGCGTTGTGCCTTTTTCCTGCGACACTGCACTTTCGTAAAATTTTCCACGTGTTCACAGCGGCAAGTCTCAATAATACACAGAGTCTTCAAAAAACTTCTTCGGCGAATGACGACGAACGAGTAGAAAACGTGTCGTTAGCACGCTGGAAAACCGCAGCAAAGGCTAGCAAAAACGGCAAATCGTATCCCAAGCGAGTGAAGCCCGGTGGCCTCACTTGCGCTGCAGCGAACAAGCGGGGAAGCGCGATCCAGCAATTGTCATAGAGATCAGTGGTACGCACCGCTTCTCCGCTTGTCCTTGTTGCTAACCACCATGTCTGTTTTTTTTTTTTTTTTTTTTTTTTTTTTTTTTTTCAGTTTCGTTTTGGATACGGAATCGGCCAAAAATCAAACTCCTCCGAAAGTTCGCTCCGCTTCGAAGGTCAGGCGTTGTAGCGAAGTCGAGCGGCCATTGGCAGCGTCCGCGTTTCTACTTCAGGTGATTGACAGTCCTCGGTGAGGTTTTAGCAAAATGTTGCTCCAGAAGCGAGGAGCACGCGCAACCTTTTCCGGAGGCGCGCCACTTTTTCGGTCGCGTTCAGACGCCTCATCTGCTTCCTCTAACCTAGTATTGCGACACAAGATTCGCCAACAAGATGCATCGTGCGAATATACCTTTTGTGAGTTCTCACGAAATATTTCTCTAGCTATTTCTGATTCAAGTCAGTGCCCCCCTAACTTAAACTGAGCGAACCAAAATGTTAGAACAATGCATGACGAGTTCTGTCATACACCTGCAATTTATTCACGTATAGTCACTGCTGACTTAGGAAGCGCCGGCAGGGGTGAGTTTCAAGCAACTTATCATCTCTCTGTAGTCAGCGACATTGAGGCCTTAGCCGATGAGAAAACCGATTCTCCGAAGCTGGAGGATAATGCGCCACATCCTCTGTTTTTTTAATTTATCAGCGACGATGGCATGCCATACGACGTCCGACAATATTCAACCACCCTCTAACTATACTAACATGTTGAGTCCACGATGTTCACTTTCGCAATTCGAGCACACCGCAGAACAAGATAGAAATATGTGGGGAGACACTGAGCGAGAATACACTCAGTACTGTAAAGGCCCGTTCACACTCTTGCAACCGAGTACGACCGAGAGAGACCAAACCGGTTTTTAAGCCTCTTGCGATCTCTTAGGACCAGCTCCGCTCAGCGCATCCGGTCTCAAGAAGTCTTTCTCGGTCGTACTCGGTTGCAAGAGTGTGAACGCGCCTTAATAATAACAAACCCTTTAAATATATCAGATAAGATAAAGCCGATCGGTGTAACGCTCGTTAGGCATACTTTTTTTCTGTTAAAAAAAGCAATGCCCTTCCTCTACATCGAAATACACAAAACATTGCGCAAATATTTTTTTTTTTTTAGCGTTCATTATTAAGAACGACTGCGTCCTCGTGTAACGACGTCAGAAACATGGCGCGTTTATAGGCCCCGTCTTTATTTGGGAGTGCGGAGGCGAAGGCAAAAGTTCTCCAGTTGGAAGAGGCAGGCGGTATAAATATCGGAAGGCGCCCGATCTTCACATCCAATAAACAGACATAAAAAAAAAAAAAACGGTTGGTGTGTCGAGGGATTTCTAGAAGCATTATACATGGTAGCGTTTTATACGCGTCGCAAATTATACGTTTCGAAAAACTGGACGTTCCCCTCCTGACCTTGCTTTGAATTTCCGGCGGATGTAATGTCATCGAACAATCTCGCTGTTGAGGTCACGAGACTCATAACCCGAAATTCCAGGTGGTAAGCTGAAATTAAACGGGATATTTCATTATTCGCTATGATGAGAGACCTTCGGAACGGAGATGAATATTACTCCCTGAGAACGAAAGTTTTCTATTTTTTTTTTTTTTTTTTCAATACGCTCCGGTTAATCTGGTTCTTTTCGCTTTTTACTTTTCAGAATGATGTTGCGCGTCCTGTTATTTCTGACCGCCGTACTGCAATGCCACGCAATGCGTCCCCACATAGTGATGCTTCTGGCCGATGACTTGGTAATGCTCATATATTTTTTAGCATTTGTACGACATACATTTTCTGCTTCCAGACTCGAACAAAAATAAAAAAAAGTGCACAATTTAGACCTGCAGCAACAGAAGATAGAATGCGATAGCCTTTTGGGATCCTTTGCAAATCTGCAAACCAATATGTCCGTCAAGACAGTCGCTTACAGTCCGACTTACGACGGCGCGGTTGTCATGCCGATTGTTTCTAAATTAAATTGGAGCACAGATAAATACGGTGATTCAGTTTTTCCCGTTACACCCAGCGGAGAAAGTGAATTGGTTTAAAATTACGTAACAACTCAGGTTTGCCAAGCGAATTTAGCTTTGGAACCGTGATAGACGGACGCGGCCGATTTCATGGTTGGGTAGCCGGAATGGTAACACATAAAAAAAAAACAAAAAAAAAACACACATCCACAATTAGTTACTGAGCGCCAGGAAAAATAATTCTTGAATAGCCAAATTAAATACTCTTGTCTGAAAAGTATCTAATTGGATTACATCAATTAAACAAGTAACTCGTTAATTTTAAGATAATATGAAGTTAAAATTTCTTATTCAATATAAAAGCGACACCGATATCGGTGAACGAGAAAAAGGTGTCATTGTTCTTTCCCGTTTGCTCCAACATTTCTTCTTTGAAAAAGAAACTTCAAATAGCGGCCCAGCTTTACGTCATTGTAGCTGTTTTTGCTCACTATGATTGGCACCCCTCCCCACTCGGCTCGTAGACAGCTTAAATACGCGTGCTCTCCTGCTTCAGAATCAGGGCCGAGGGACAAGGGGGGCACTTGCCCCCCCCCCCCCCTTCCCAGTTCTCAGAGTGGGGGGGGGCAAGCAAAATAATTTGATGGCCTAGTTGGTTGAACGTAGTACACACAATTAGCGCGACAGGAGACGAACACAGGAAAGAAAGAGAAGGTAAGAAAGAGAAGAGAAGGAAAGAAAGAATGGGGGCGGCGGGGGGGGGGGGGGGGGGGCAAGGCATGTGCTCTGCCACCTCTGAAACAGCCGCCACTGGGCAGGGTAAACACATGCCGGCGGCGCCCAAGGGTTACCAGGGGCACCGCACCCCGGCCCTTGGGGCTGGGGGGGGGGGGGGGGGGGGGGGGGGGGGGGGGGGGGGAGGGGGTTCTGGTTTGCCCTTTACTCAAAAATAAGTTGGTACAATATTGGCTGTTTGATGTGCTGCCCTGCCAAGAGCCTCGATTCCGCTGACCGCAAAGGGCGGAACCTCGCTGCTTCTGCGGTTTTCCTTTTCAGCACAGGAAATGGGCTGTCCAAGAACAGAAGAGAACTGCCGATTTTGGAAATATTTGTAAGAAGCCATGTACTAAATACTAATTTGTGAAAGTATCTGCAATATGCCAAAAGTATTTAGAATACGGTTAGTTAGGTAGAGCGTTCGGATTAAGCAGAAGCAGGGCTTTGGTAGAAGTAAAGCCCCTTGTATAAGGTTTTCGATGCGGGGTGTTCATAATAAAATAAATTGTGGAATGGACATCTATAAGTGTTCACGTTCCAAGGTGAGTTTTGCGACATTCTCCTACTTTCTTTCTTAATGAATTTGTCTCAATTAGCCATATTAACCGGATACAACTCTTGTGTAACGCCCTCAGTGCATCATATATTAGCGTTTTTAATTTAAATTTAAGAGCATTTTATTTAATTCTGACTAATTGATTACCTTGCTGTTTCTGCTTCATTAATAAATCTCTGTTCACAAGCAGAAAAAAAATAAGAAAATGAATAAATGAATGAATGAATGAATGAATATTATGTCTACATTATATCGTATTTTAATAAGTCGCGCATAAGCAGAAAATTTAGTGAGAGGCTGCGGACACCTGCCGATTTCCACTGCCCGCTCTCACGCTATATCGGATAATTTAATACCCTTACCCTATTTGATCCTTTGAAATTAATATTTGTCATGACTGGTCGCTTGGATCAACGTCAGAACTACTTCAAGAACACCGCGATCGATGCGAGGGGTACAAACAAAACAGGGCCAGAGAGCAAATCCTTTTCAACACCGCATCAGGGAACTTTAGCAGTCGCCATTTCTTGGACAAGAAGCGTCCACCTGGATCCGAGTCCTCACCGACCACCGATGCAGCCGTCGTGCCAAATACGCGCTCAAGGCATCTGATAAAGCAATGGCGGACTCTGATAATTAGTGGAACGCCTACTAGATGGCGCCAACTTTTGGAAAGGGTCTATCGCAATAAGCATAGACAACAAAGCATGTGAAATATAAAATATCGGACTATTGCCTTCACCCGGTTTATTGTCTTCCGGGGCAAACGTTGACTGAAAACTAATAACATTTTATTAACTAGTCCGTCCACCGTGTACAAATAGCAAAAACAAATTTAAGAAAATGCTTTCTTTTTTTGATAGTCCACACCGGGTGCATAGTTGGTGCATGTGATAACTTAGCATGTATTTCTCTCGTTATGAAGAAGCTCATTTTCCCCAGAAAGAAATACTCCATGCTCCCATGCTGGCCACTAAACCGGTACGAATGCAAATAGCGAAAGTCAGACTTCGTGATGTTTCTTTGATTTTTTTTATAACGAGATTTGTTTTAAAAGAAACTAAAGTGGAGCCCCAACGCTCCTGCCTATTGAGGAGGCATCACAATGGCGGTTCCTAAAATAATCCACAGTCACTTATCTTCCACTGGTATTGATTTTACATGTGCAAGCAGGGGTATCCGGAACATCAAAATTAAGCTTGATCCGCATTTTCCGTTTGGGCAAAGCTACCTTTCCCGTCCCCCGCGGGGCCGTGCATTGTCCAAGCTGGTTTTCCTGATTAATGCCCAGCGTCAAATAACGTGACCTGGAACAATGTAATATACGAAATCTGCACAGAAAATGAACTTAAGGGGGGCACTACGCAAAAAAGTAAATTTTCGAACCACTTGATTGATTTAAATTATATTTACAGGGCTTGTTTTTGCTGATGTTGAGAACATTTCTGCCAAATTGTGTTAACCTGGTTGAAGTATGAAAAAACCTGCAAGGTGCTTCAAAGATGAAAGTAGGTGTGCCTGCATAGGAAAACTATCGTTTTAAAATTGCTTATAAATTTGTCGTTTTCATGTGTTATATTGCATTAGGACGGGTCAGAGCAGATAACTATGGAGCTATATTTCTATGTTGTACCATCTTTCATGACAAAAGAACCACATAAACACAAATACAGTGTTTTAGATTTCCATCCTTTTTCCAAAACTTTGTATTTGAGCATGAAAAATGACAAAATAAAAAATACAACCTCATAGTTATCTTCCCATTAAAATTTCACCCCGGAAAAAAACTAAGCAAAAAAAAGTAATCCAAGTTATGTAATAACAAAACGATAGTTTTCCTAAAGTGAAATTTATGCCAGAAAGTGGAATAGAGAAAAATGCGCACAAAGTGCTCCAACCTCACCTTATCTTTATCGTTTGGTGGACCGAAAATAATTTGTAAAAAATTAACTATGCAGTACAATCAAATGGAACTTTCTGGGAATACCCTCTAGATGTTGGTAGATGTACAAATGACATTTCTCAAAATGAACGTTTTTTTTTTTGCAGAAATTGTTTTTTCTGGGTAGTGTCCCTCTTTAATTTTAGAAAAAATCATAGCATAATCCGCGCGTTTAAATTGACCGCAGAGTGCGGATTACCAACTTTTTAACACACATAATCTGTGGACTACAGTTCGAAAAAGAAAACGGAGAGTACAGCAGGCAAATAACACTTAGCAAAAACAATAGAAAAATCGCGTTCTTGGAGACGTATTGATTCCGCCATAACCTGAGTGTTTTCTTCGTCAATGTGTTTTTTTTAATACATGTTTAGCTGTGAGGAGGGTCATAAGAGTAATTGATTAACCTTCCAATTAATCCAATAATCCGTCCACTGCTGTCTTATTATCGCTGCGCAGCCGAGGTTGCGACGTTTGCCAGTGATAAGTAAAAAACGAAACAAGTTGCGTAATCCCAATGAAGCCCTGCTTTTGTTTCTCAGTCTGCGTTTCTAAAGTTTATAAAAAAAATGTTTTTTTTCTTCGACTCTTTATCTTCCTCAGCCCTTCTGAGTTTCCAACGTTCTAGATGTAATGTCCCCCATTACGCCCCGTTCCATTCTTCCACCATTCCATCACTATGTTTTACTTTAATAATGAAACTATGTGGTTGAACCTAGATTCAAATAAGCTATTGGAATCAATTTCTAATGCTATTTGTGAACATGGAGTTTCCAAAATGCCTCTGGAATCTCGGTTGATGGCTTCGTCGACCTTGCTGCTCTTGACCTACGCCTACTCTTGCAGAATGTAGAGGAAAAATCGTTGAAGAAACGAGTTGTTTCGGGCCTTGTTTCGCGCCTATACTCAGTGAAGTTTACCTCCCGCTCGTAAACAAAACCATAAAAAAAACGACTTCACAACACTTCCGCGGGATGCCATGCTTTTAGGCTTGTGGACGACTACCTGGTCATTCACCCGAGCTTGGAATCTTCTGAAGGTGTAGTTGAGGCATTCACGCAATGTTCTTCTAGACTCACTTTCACCAAAGAAGACTCGCCACTAGAAGGTTTGCAGTACTCGAAGCTCCGTCTTCATGTTAATTTATCGGTTCAGTGCTGGGCATTTTAAATGAGGACAAGAAACCCGGTTCTTTCGTTCTCAAGTGTTCTCTCTAAATCAGTCAAACGCAGCGTCATCAAGCCCCTTTTCTCTTCCTCGTTATCAAAATAATGTCCACCGAAATCTAAAAGAAAAAAAAGAAAAACGTTTATACGCTTAACACCAGGTGTTTGTCAATGCGGGATTTCCATTGAATCTTCTAAGAAACACTTTAGAGGAATTAACTCTTGGTCATACCCGCTCAAGACCTGCTCCCAAAAGTAAGATGTTGGGTCGTTTTGCCGTCATTCCCTATGTACAGAATTCAGCGCACCGTTTGAAGGCTATCGCCTCCCGGTACAACAC